GAGAGAGAGAGAGAGAGAGAGAGAGAGAGAGAGAGAGAGAGAGAGAGAGAGAGAGAGAGAGAGAGAGAGAGAGAGAGAGAGAGAGAGAGTTAGGCAGAGCGAGCCAAGTCAGAGAGAGAGAGAGAGTTAGAGAGAGAAGGGAGAGAAGCCAGAGCCGCCACCTGATTGGGATCCGTTGTGTGTGTGCGTGCGGCAGAGCCGCTGGAGACAAACATTCTTGTATATTGATAATAATATTGGAGACGACATCTTCAAGTGTTGATTGTATCTCGATTTGCCTTCTCACATGTGAACTCTCATGTGAATGTTCATTGATGTATGTAAGGTTGAGCTTGACGACCACTTGGCTCATTTCATGGAAATGCAGACACTCCAATATTTATTGCGAGACTCCAGGCCTCAGATGCCCCAAAGTGCCCACCCAAGAAAAGAGCAGGCTAGGTCGCGCTAGCGAAGGACGGCCTGAGGAAAAGATGCTGGTATACTGTGCCTGATAAAGGCGCCAGCCCCTTTAACCAACCAGCAGACCAGCCTTCAGTTCGTTACGCAGGCTGGGGCGTGGACTGAGACCAGTGGGCAGTAAGAACTACGGGACCCAGACCCCAGCCTCCAGACAAGACATAAGGAGAGAGGCCACTGAGCAGAACACATCTGGGCATTGGCAGCACGCGGTAACACTGGAACAGCACACTACAGCAAAATAGCCAGTAATCTGATGATAAACATCGATAACATAATCGGTAGCACTGGACGATCTGTGTATGTGATGATAAAGAACATAACCCACCTACCACTTGAATGTACACTCTGCGCCTCCATTACTTCTGTGAGATCGAGCGGTTTAGTAGAAGGATTTAACAACTGTCACAAGTTCTCATAAAATATTGGCATGGAAACACATATAGCGATAGGAAGCAAAGCCACCTACTTGGAAAACACACATCCATCTGCAATATTAAACAAAACCACTTGAAAGGACACTCTATGCCTCCATTACTGCTGTGAGGTCGAGCGGTTTAGTAGAAGGAATTAACGACTGTCACAACTTCTCATAAAATATTTGGCAGGGAAACACATATAGCCATAGGACGCTAAGCAACCTACTTCGAGAACACACATCCATCTGCAATATCAAACAAGGATTACAAGTGATAAACGGAACTCCGTCTGGGATTCAAGGCGAGGTATGCTTTCCCTTCTGCAAATGGCTTTTAGCCCAGTAATCGAGTCCGGTCTGAAAGGCCTCTTTTTCCCAGCCACTAAACAAGAATGATATCATGAGAATCACCATGTCAAGAACTCGTTCCAATTGTGAAGACAATTAGTATATGATCGTACTTACCATGCAACCTTTCTCCCATCATTATATGTAAAGATTGCCATCGACCATACAAATTTCACTTGCTCTCAATTCTCTGCTCGGTTTTGTGACCATGGTTCAGCCTCACCGACAGGAAAGGTGGCCAGTCTCGTGTAGCCCTAGGGATAAAGACCGGCATGCAATAGTTGGGGTGGCATGTGAGCAGGGGCCCATCACAGGGTTCGGAAAGGGGCCAGGGGAGTAGGAAAAAGGAAAAAGGAAAAAGGTACTTGCACAAGCATAAACCATTTTCACTGCCTCCCCTTGGACCTTCAGGTACGGTGACCTCACCTTTCTCCCCTGCCACCGGCATTGCCAGCAGCAACCAGAACGGGTTGAATAAGCCCCTCAGTTTGCAAGGTCCCCCCCTCCTAAGACTGAAAGCGAGGGATTGAGCTCCCATAACAGACTTCTCACAGGCTCAGGAGGCTCCTCGGAGGCAACGAGGGATCAAGAATGTGCCCCTTCGGTGGGTGGGGAGAGGAAGGGGAGCTGAGGGGGGCTCGGGGTTAAGCCCCTGGTTGTTGGCTGGTTTCCTCATGCACGAGTTCCCAAGCCCCAAAGGCAGCTTATAATGGCCAGCTTCTGTATGCCACCCTTCCTAATATCATCCAAACCACTGCAAAGAACTTCCCAAAAACCACACGTGATGGAGATGATCATTACGATGAAAGAGAGAGGCAAACGCTCTGGGCATCCATCACCTTGGACTCTCCCCCTGTGTAGTACAGGTTTGGCATCAGTTTGACAGCCACCAGTTGTATGAGCCTGCTATCACAAGACCATGTCATCAGTGCCTAAAATCAGGATAAGATCGGGTAGACATTCATCATCAGAGAAGATACTTCAAAAAGATAGCACCAAGGAGTGATAAACAGAACAACTGCAGTGGGAAAGACAATCGTCCAAACCTGGATGTCGTCGCAGCAGGCGCTGACACATGTCCACACAATCTTCAGAAAGGGTGGATGAAATATTCTCCGGGATCCGTGCCTCAGAGCGCTCAATGTTTCGAAGCAACTGCCAATTGGACAGAGACATACCCATTGCCAGATGGGCTTATCAGTGTAGTGCCATGTATACACAACCTTTAATGATATGAGTCTGGGGAACGCAACTGGATGGCAAGGATTGGATGCTGACTGACCAATGACCATGGAGTGATACCGCCCTGCAATTTTGATCTCTGAAGTTTCGACTATTACCCTTGACCAATTACAAGGGCCTTTACCCGATATAGGCCTCAGGCCTTGTAAAAATAGAGCAGCACGGGCCTTGTAAAAGTAAAGCATTGTGAAAAGGTATCTTGCCAGGGCTCAGAAACGTGAAAACAGGTCAAAAGTCAAGTTCTCTATCAACAGGCACATCTAGATCTAAGGCAAAGGGCATTGTCAAAAGACTTACCTGTTCACCAGGAGATGTGTATGTCATGTCTGTTCGAGTAAGGGTGTGTCTGTACGTGTAGGCAGTGTACCTGTTCGTGCAATGGAAAGTGCCTGTTCAAGTAGTAAATGTGTCTGTTCGTTTAGAGTTGTGCCTGTCCAAAAGTGAAGTCAGTAGGCACAGTCCCAGTTCTGGTCTAAGTCAAGGGGTCAGTCCAGATCCAGACTTTCAAGTCCAAATCCAGGCCTAAGTGCCTCAGCAGCAGTTGAATCTCATTGGGACTGTACTGGGACACATGCAATGCAGGGTCTGGGACAAAGGGAGAGGCTGAATTGAGCCAATGCAGACCCAGCGAGGAGTGGCCAGCACTATAAAAAGAGCTGCCTGCCTCATTGCTCGCCAGATCTCCACTGGCTGCAATGCGTGGAAGTGCTGGTGCACTTGTGCGCTGAGTCAGGAGGAGCAGCGCTGGAGGAGAAGACGCGCTGGAGGGAGGAAGATGCCTGTACGCTGGAAGTGATGCAGCCATAGCTGCCCAGCGAGTTAGCATTAGTAGTAGAGGGTTAGTATGTAGCTATGAGTAGTATCCAGAGTAGATCCTCACGAGTATTGAAGAGTGTGTATGCATCATAGGAGGAAGGGATTGAGGCTGAGAGTGTTCATTCAAGCTTGGCTATGGAAGATACTTACCTGAGTTGGACGTGACCTGCAGAGGTGGCGCTGATGAGTGGTGACCACATTGATGACTTGGAGACTATCTGCAGGRGTAGCACTGATTCACTGGAAGGCATATTGATGAGTTGGCAAGATATTGGTGTTGCGCTGATGAGCGCTGGACTCAGGGGAACTTTGAAACACTTTGTATTCATATTTCTGATAACATAAACTGTGAAACTCGGTCCTCATCTTCTCTATCTTTGTCTATTGTCAGACTACTGTTCATTGTGTGTGGGAGTACGATGCATGGCATGTACACACTTGCGTGAGATGGTCCCCAGGACCCATGCACAATGTTCTGCTGTATCAAATCCACAGCAAGGCACAGACTTGCAACCAGCTAACTCAAAACTTCAGGGCCTCGGTTAACACTAGACCACACACAATCAGTAGAATCTTATCTGAACATGAACATATAACTTGACGACTCTCTCCTACATTGAAGCGATAACAACTAAAACATGGCACATTGGACTCGTGACAATCTAAATAGACTGGTTGTTGCATGAACGAACTGCTGAGTATCAATCAGCCAATGAAGCAACACAATGTGCTGGTGGTCACGTAGGAGGTCTGTGGACATTTGAAGTTCGGCAGCTGCCTCAACCACATGTTTCAGAGGAAAAAGAGGATCAAGAGGGATGCATTGCCCTTGTATGCATGTGTGAGAGTCCTCTGTACGATAATATATGGGCTGACGGCAAGCTGCAGAGAACAATGAAGTTGTGTATGTGTGTTATGGGTGGAAAAGGAAAGAGAGAGGTGGTGGGGTTCGGTAAGGCAGAGAGAGACTGATCGAGAGAGAGAAAGCAAGCACGAACATGCCACAGAGAGGATGGGTGGGGTTGCGGCCGCCTAAAATCTGGAACAAGACTGTCATTTGCGTGTATGTGTGTAGCATGTGGATGTGCATGAGCAGGTGCACGTGTGTTGTCAAATGATCACAACATAAAGCCCAACTTCAAATGTCACAATTAAAGAACAGCCATAAAGGAGTGAAAGGTTCCTCACGTCTGTGTGGTTGGGCAGGAAGTGCCGACACGTGCACTGTAGAAAAACAATAAACTGACAGACAGTCACCCGAACATACACAGACGCCTGCTCCAATAGAGGGACCAACGGACAAACTCCAACCATAATGCTCAGACAATCCAATAGCATAATAAATTAATAATAATCTAATAAAACTTTACAAAAGAAACCCCATTAATTAATGAAATGGTGCTCTTTTGGACAAACCATGAATTCTGTTAGTTGTCAAATTGTGCACATTTGTGTCTTGAGGGAAGGGAGATGGGAAGAGAGCACCATGCAAGTAGTTAAGAGCACCCACTGAAGCATGCATGTGCTCATGTGTATTTGCCGGCAAAAGAGGACGAAGGAGAAGATTCAGAATGCCACACGAGAACTATGTTCGGATGGTTTAGCAGCTTTGGAGGAAGAGGTCAGGAATAGGTGAGGAAGGAACGAATTGATTCAGAGCCATAGATCAGTGGGTTTGCACGGGTGACGACTCTTCTGAATACTGGGGTAGGTGTCTAATGTTGGAGTATATTCATCATGCTGTAGTCAATCCAGAGGAGGTTTGCCATAGGGATGAAAGAGGATGCAGTTACGAGGGGTTGGTTCAGAGCACTTCAGACTGGTAGAGCATATATACTTTCTTTCTTTTTTTAAATAGGGGAATAGAGCATATATCCTTTCGATCATCATACTCTAATTTTATAGCAAGGAGGTTCACTGTCTCCATGCCAGTTTAAAGGCAGGCAGTGTCGTTGTAATATTTGCCTTCGGGGAGTGAACTGCCGCAGGGTTGGAAGCTGAGGAGATACTTTGGGAGAGTGTCTCTGGAAAGACAGTAATCGGGTCGCATGGAAAAGCATCGCCCAGGCCAGAGAGACCAGGAAAAAGACAAGGTCACTTTGGACTGGGCATCAAGCTTTTTTCTTTTTCTTTTTACCGACAAACAATCACTATATTGCATATCAAAAGGGAGGCCATGAACCTCACAATTCTACCAGGTAATGAGAGAATCACTCAGATTAGCTTAGCCAGACCAACCTGGAAATCATGAAGAAGTTAGAAGAACCTACTGCAGCTAATTAGCAACGACCACTCACACATTTACCGGCACCGACCTCCTCAAGTAGGTTCTATGGCGAGAGCATACCAGCCTATGCCAAGATAGCCCAGCCAGGAGCACAGAACGACCGAGTGATCAGGTGTGTTCAGCAGGGTGCCTATTGGGTACAGCAGCTACAGCTCCTACTAGTCTCAGTCTAAACCCCCAACCCAAAATAAGCATTAAACAAACAAACAAAACAAAAAACAAAAAAAACAGAAACGGCAACAATGAGGGCCCTTGTTAAACCCTTACTCTATTCCGACCGAAGCCATCTACACAAGTTTCCCTTCCAGGGTGACCGGTGCCAAACTGTTCCATTTGGCCCACGAGTGCAAGAACCACACTCTCGCTCGAGATCAAGCAACTCTGAATTTTTTTTCTAAAGGCAAAAAACTCATGCTCAAGGTCTCGAGTGTGGAATGTTGAGAGCTCACAGCCGTAAAGACGTTGTCAAGCCCCAAAAAGCCACTTTCAAGCATCCCAAGACAGGAGACCGATTCTGCAATGAAGCCATGAGACAACCGTCATCAACTGTTGTAGTATCTTTACACCAGCCCGTCAGAGAGCCTTTCCTGAACCATATGCACAAGTTTCCTTGCATACAGTTCTCACAGAGGTCCTCAGCTAGCAACAACTGTAAGTTCAGGTGCCCGCCAGAGGATTCCATGGCCAACTGCAACCTGGATGCCATGTGTCGGCGGATGGCATCCCTCTAACGTCATTGATCGGTACTGCTATAGGCTTAACATAAGAGTTGTACGGTTATAAAGTCACTGAGGGGTGACCACGTTAAAAGACCAGTGTCCTTGAATGAAGTTGATCTATTGTGTCATACCTGTTGTTTTCCTCACCCCGAAGTCAGAGAACCTCAGTCGGTTGTCGGAGTCAAATTTCTATCGCAGTAACAGGCAGAGGACATCGTCTGGAGAGATTGCAATCCAACAGAGGAGGGCAGCAGCCAAAGGAAAAAAAAGTGTGGCTCGTCCAGCTGCCACTGAGCTACTGGTCCAACCTGAGCACAATGTATACAGTCACAACTTTGGCATGGTACAGGGGAGAGTGGCAGATTAAATTGATAAACAGCCAGAAAGCCATTGTGCTGTTTGAGTCAAGACCAATTCAAATGCATCAAGCTGCAGGTCCATTAGGTCTCAGCAAGACCTCTGTCCGATGCACATGGCCCCATTCTGATAGCATAAAGAATAGCACATATGCCCCATGAGAACCAGGTAGTCCATCCAGTAGCTCCGATCGTTAAAGTGTAGAATGCCACGCAGTACAATATGCTCCCAAACCTTGGGGTTCCCACCTCTGAAGGGTGTGCATCTGAAGTTCATGTCAATGCATCAATCAGCATGAGCAAATGGCATGCAGCTAGGTCTCAGCAGGTCCCATGGTGGGTCAGGTAGGTCCACCTCATATAGCACATACATCTCAGAGGAAGCTATCAGTATCTCTACTGGTTCCCTCTGGATAAAGCATGGTCCAGAAGTAATCATATGTTCGAGTAGGTTCTGAACCTCAGGCCTCCAACCTCCTCAGGGTCTGTGCCTAAAGCTATATGGTGTATCGCCAATCTATGGTGCACTGCTGCAAACTGTGTGTTCCAAATGCACAGCAGTCCCATTCATAGGTGCTGCTTGGCTGGCTGTGGCATGATGCTCCCCTGTCCAGGGATGAGAAAAAATGTGCAAGTCGCAACAAGCACGATTACCGGCACTCGGGCCCGGCCCTAACGAAGGCAACGGTCAGGTCCCCTAGGAAAGAAAACAAATCTGAAAGGAAAACTAATTTAAACTATGCTATGCAGAAAAATAAAGTGAACAACTTTCGCCTCGGACTCGCATCAAAATTCTTTACCGGATTCAAATTAGAAATCAAATAAATAAACATATCTAATACTTTTTTTTCTTTCTAATTTGTTTTTGGCCCGGTCGGCCAAGTCATCCCAGCCACTATGGTAGCCCACTTTGGATCACCACATACTTGATTAATTGACTAGTTGATTGATTTTTTTTACATTAAAAAAAAAAAGAAAAACAGACTCCACACGTTAGTGTGTGACTCTCTCTCTCTCTCTCTCTCTCTCTCTCTCTCTCTCTCTCTCTCTCTCTCTC